CCTGACCTCAGGTGATCCAACCACCTCGGCCTCCCAAAGTGCTGCGATTACCCCCGTGAGCCACTGCACCTGGCCATTTTTTTTTTTTTTTTTTTGTAGAGACAGGGTTTTGTCATGTTGCCCAGGATGGTCTCAAACTCCTGGATTCAAATGATCCACCTGCCTCGGCCTCCCAAAGTGCTGGGATTATAGGTGTGAGCCACCACACCCGGCCTCCTGTGTTGAGTTGCCATAGGTAACTGGGTCTGCCTGTTGGTTTTCTGTGCCGTTGTATTCATGGTCTATTTGCTCTGGTGCCTGTACCACATTTTTTTTTTTTTTTAAGTCACTATGGTGTTATAAATCTGGTCAGGAAAAGCACACCCTCCAGCTTCTTTTTCCTTTTCTTTTTTTGACTTTTTCTTTTAGTTATTTTTGGATCTTTATTCACCTACAAAAATGTGATAGTAAATGTATCAAATTTCTTGAGAAAATCCAACATTTAAAAAAATGCTGTTAAAACCCAGACAAGGTGGCTCATACCTGTAATCCCAGCTACTCAAGAGGCTGAGGCAGGAGGATTGCTTGAGCTCAGAAGTTTGAGACCACCCCGGGCAACACAGCGAGACATCGTCTCTAATCTACCTGCATCAACTGTGTCTGTTGAGAGGTCTGATGTCACATGGAATCTTGTTATTCTGTGAGTCATCTGTTCTTTCCGGAAGCTTTTTAAAAATTATTTTCTCTTTTTTTGTTTTTTCATTTTTAAATTTTTTAGAAAAGAGAGACAGGGTCTCACTATGTTACCCAGGCTAATCTTGAACTCCTGGGCTCAAGCAATTCTCCTGTCTCGGCCCTCCCAAAGTGCTGAGATTGTAAGTGTGAGTCACCATGCCCAGCCTATTTTCTTTTCTTTTTTCTTTTTCTTTTTTTATTTTTTGAGACAGGACCTTGCTGTGTCACTCAGGCTGGAGTGCAGTGATGGGATCATGGCTCACTGCAGCCTCAACTTTCCAGGCTCAGGTGATCCTCCTCCCTCAGCCTCCCAAGTAGCTGGAACTACAGGCGTGTGCCACCACACCCAGCTAATTTTTGTATTTTTTATAGAGACGGGGTTTCACCATGTTGCCCAGGCTGTCCTTTTTTTTAATTATTATTATTTAATTTCACCAAAGAACTGTGATCACAAGGAAGCTTTTAGAATTTTTGTCACCTTGGGTTTTCTTTAATTTCACTCTAGGTTTAGTGCTCTTCCTGGCTTGCCAAGCTCTCTCTCTGATTTGGCCTCTTGGCCCTTCGGTCTGAGGTTGGTCATCTTTGTTCAGTTTTGAGAAATGTATCTCCATTGTTTCTTCTGAGATTCCCGCTTCTCCATCTTCTTCCTCCTCCTCGTCCTCTTCCTCCTCCTCCTCCTCCTTCTTCTTCTTCTGTGACTTGCACTATCTAGATAACAGCCCTTCTAATCTATCTCCTATC